TTGGTATTATTATTTATTGTTATTCATTATTTGTTTTTACACTATATTGTTTTATCTGTTGATTTATTCTTCATTGCTTTTTATTTTATTGTTTATATTGTTTTTTGCTGTGCTTGTTTTATGCTACACGTATGTGTGTTACATGTGAGCCCGGGGTCCACACCTCCCTTGTTGTTTTTATGGGTTGTACTCCTCTCACTTGACTTTGCCCTTGTGATTTTTCTTATCTCCGCCTTTTCTTCTACCTCTCCCTGTCCTTTGGCGCCCGTTTCTCCGTTCTGATCGTCTGTTTTTTTTTTTTCGTGAATGAACCAAGCCCGTTGGGCATAATTGGACACGAACATATACCGGCATTTAGCATCTTTCGCCTGTTTGCCGCATTCGACTAATTTTTATACAAACGGTTTGCTCGTTCGTCTGTTTTTTCCTCTTCCTTATATTCGTCTATCTATTCACACAAATTCATTTATTTACCGAACGTTCAGTTCTTTAACGTGACGAATTCAGGATTTTGCCGCGAATCTCGCAAGATTGCCAGCGGCCATTTGCTGACTTCCTGTCTCCCTTCCTACCTGGTGTGTACGTGTGCCACTGGTCTGGGCCCTAGTGAGATCTCTCTTATACCTGTTGCTTTCAGTTTGGGTGATTAACCCATACTACTCTGCTACTTTAGTACTAGGTATTAGGTCCTGTTTTTTGCCATTATGCCTAAACACAGGCTGCCTTCCAGCTTCCCACCCTCTGGGGAGATAGATGCCCCATTTACTCTGGGAGAGACCCCTGTCACCTCAGACACTCCACCCACTCTGGTAGACAGGCCCATCCACCCTGAAGGGGCACAATTCTTAGTGCTACTGCGCTCGGTTACAGATGCCATAATGACAGCCATGGGGTCCATGTCATCTACCGTCTCCCATACTATATTTCAAGCCCTATTGCCACATCCTTTGGACGCGCAATTTTCGGGTTCCACAATGCCACTGTCGCGTCCTGCTGTGGACCCACCAAGAGAAGCACCCAGAAAGGCTACCCATAAGTCCAAACACCCCTCTCCCTCTGCCTCTAGAACGTCTATGACTGGTGCACCTACATCATACAAGCAAAAGAGCCTTTCTGCACAAGGCAGAACTGGCGCAGCTATGGAAATGTGCCAGAGCACAGCTAGAGAGCGATTCTGACTCAGATATCGGGTCTGGTGAGGAGGCTATGATTGAGTCGGACAGTGACTCTGATATAGATGCCGCAGATCTGGGTTTTGACCTCCTTCCCTCTGCTCAGGCAGAGACGTCCAGAGGCGATACAGGGACAAGGCACCCCGCAGCTGCGGGTTCCGCCCTCATGGATCCATTGGGTGATCCACTCTTCGACCCGGATGACCTATACCATCCGAGGTTGGCGGAGTGGCTCCCGGCTGACCATGTTGCTAAGTACCTGGAGAATTGGGTACGGCGCCCTCTTAGCAAAGCGGCACGT